TTTACTTGATTCTGGAATAAATATTTCATTGAAAAATTTCAAAATCGACAACAATTTCGTTCGACCCCGTGCATTGCACGGGTCAAAATACTAATTATATAAATGGTTAAGACTTTTAGAGTTTTAGGGGTGCGCAGTGCGCTTCCACTTTCCTTCTCCTTTCCCTTCCAGTTTCCCTTCCAATTTTTAATACTCCATTCGTTCCTAAATAATTTATTCTTTTATGCAAAATGAAGTAAAATCTCAAATTTTTAAATTTATTTTATTTAAGGGTGTTGATATACAAGTAAAAAAATAAAACTTACATTAAAAAACTACATCAAAAATTCTAGAAAACAAGAGGTGACAAGTACACAAAAATATTTTATTTCATCAAATAATCACTGAAAATACACATATAAATAAAAGTTCTCGCAATTTTTAAATAGTAAGTGTGTAAATCATTTAGCTAGGGACGGAGGGAGTATTAATTTTTAACACTTATTTTAATTTAAATAAATTAATCTAAAAATATAAAATACAATTAAATAGTACAAATTTAGAAAACTGAAACTATAAACTTAAAACCTGCAAAATTATTTACAAAAAAAAAAACTTAAACTAAAAAACGGGAAAAACATAAAAACTAAAGAATACAAAAAAGAACTAAGGCTGCCTTCTGTTCGCCTGATATCTGATCTAATCTGATTTTTTGAAGATCTGAACTGGTTTGATCTTATCTCTGGTTTGATTGCAGTTTTTAATTAAAGTTGTTTCTGATCTCATCTGGTGTGATCTGATCTGATCTGGTTACGTTATAATAAGAATAAGTAATAAACTGAAAAAATAAGTTGAACGAAACGCTGCCTAAAGAAGGTGAACAACGAAAAAGAAGAGAATAAAAAAAACGTAGGAATAAGAGCACTGGCAATAGGTGTAACGCCAAGTAGCGTCGTCATTGCCATTTTAACGCATGAGGGGCAATAAACTCCGCCTCCCTTGGGGCTTCATCCGGGCATTATCCTCACTGTGTCAAACCTTTAACGGGCGTGTTTGTAGCAGGCCCCTGCATTCAAATGGCTACAAAGCCGTCAAAAACTTTTAAAAAAAATCTCCTCTACAAATTAACTCGTTTTTAAAAATAAAATTCACAAACAAATCTCTCTCTCCTTCAAACTAAAAAAAAACTAAACACGCACAACATCACTCTCTTCCTCAAATTAAAAAATTTTTCAATTTTTTTTCATCTTTTTTAACATGAATCCATTCGATTTCAAAATTCCTTCATTCAGTCTCGAATAATCATACAATAGAATACTTTTTTTAATGACGGTAAACCTTATTTACGTACCATGATTTCAAAGTTCCTTCATTGAATAAATACCCAATGATCTGGATTCTGGAGTAGCAATAAGGTTCTTCACTTCTTCCTACTTGATGCGCACATATTTTACACTTTTGATACATATTTTGGATGAGTTTCTGAATCCAATTGAATTTATTGTTTATATTTTGTTTCAATCGTAAACATATTTGTTAAAAGAAATCTAAACTATAATTGATATAATCATAAAATAGAATACTTTTTTAATGACTGTAAACCTTATTTACGTACCTTGAATTGAGACTAAAAAATTTTTGTTGGACATAATTATTGAGTTGTATTTTTACATATTGAATTGGAAATTTATTCAAAAAAAAAACTATGGTTGCCATTGTGACGAAACAATTACTCTAGATTTATCATTAGCGTGTTAAAGTTAGAGTACTTACTCCGATCTATATTATTTTGGTGAATAGCGAGAGCGGTCGTAAATATCTTTCTATAACCCCACACAATCTATATAAAAACAAATTGACAACCCAATAATTTACCAATATCTACCTCTAATCTTCATCATAAAAACCATTGTATTGTTTGGAACTTTATCATTTTACCCTCTTTATTATTTTCTCTCAATCAAAAAGACAAAAAAATACTGGAGTATATTTTACAAATTGTTTTATAAATTTGTGTCTTAATTAAATCAACAACTTATATATTCCTGAAGTTCGACATCTTACTTACAAAAATTCTTGTTATAAATTGTCATTTTTACTCGTTGTATACTGGAAATCAGTACTCATATAACTCTAGTAAACCCAAATATCACAAAAGGCATTCCTTGACATTAAATATAAGCCCAAAATGATATGCATAGATGGAACTATGGAATAATTAGTTCACTAATTTGTTCATAAAAACCATTGATTAATCAAAACCACAATACTCTTTGACCAAAGGAGGGATGAAGACTTCAAAAGCAAATCCATCCTTGGCACATCGATCGGCCATCGCATTGAAGGCCATACAACACGTTGTGCTCAAGCTCAACCTAGACGACGACGGCAAGCCACCATTTGTATTGGCATTAGCAGCAGATAATTCCCTTCCCAAAAACGCATTGGCCTCAGCAATGCACCCTTCCATGTCTTCATCCATCCAACCCCAACACCTTCTCATATCCACTAATTTCGGCACATCATTATTATTATTCAGTGATTTTGATGAAGGAATAAGCATTGCTAAGTATGTTGATACCATTAGAAATAGCATTGAGGTTGATCCTAATGAAGAAGCCATTTTAGTTTGAGAGCTTAAGTTTAACTACTAGTTATTTTGCATGCCGCTTAAATAATGTGATCATTTGTACCACGATATTGTTATTGGTCAAACTATATATGATATGCATTTACAATTCTATACTCATTAATGCTTCCTTTCATTTTGACATTAATTATGATGATGAAATCGTGATTTGTCATCTTGAAATTAAACGTGAAGATAACAAAGAAAGAAATTCATTAATGGATGCTCACATTTTACTTCAATATAATTCATACTCTCTTGGTCCCTCAATCTTTGTCATGTTTTAATTTTTACAATCAAAATTGACAAACTATAATTATTGATTAAAAAATTGATATTAGATATTGATACAAAAATAATTTTATAAGATTTCATTTATAAATTATTTTCGAATTATTCTTTTATCTAATAAATATACCATATATTTTTTTAAAATAATAGGTCAGAACTTGAAAAGTGGTTGATTGAAAATTTTCAAAAATGAACTAATACTCAGAAACAAAGGTAGTACATTTACAATTTTATTTTTTTCACGTCTAAGGAACATGTTAAAAACATTAAATACTTTTAATTTAAGATTAAAGGTGATTAACCAAATACTTTGTGGTTCAGTGCATCATAAAGATTCACTTAAATGGGAAGTCACATACTTGAACTCCAGTGAGACTCTCACAATTGAGAACTCACATGCTAAAACTCAATTAGTGCATTACAATATTTAACAGAAGTTATTTTAAATTTATTATTTTTTTAATATTATTGTAGAATTACGAAATATAATGTATATACTCCATATATATTTAAACTTTTAAGCATTTTTTAATTATAACACATACTTTACTTTTTTATTCTTCTTAGCTGCGTGCAGTCAAAGACTACACATTCAACTAAAATTTGGGTGAAAATATATCTAGTGCCAAAATTAACCAATAGAATTGCAGCACATTAACATTCTTTCAACAATGTCATACAAATCAAGTACATCCTTAATGACATTATTAACATTCGAGATATTCCAAAATCATCCTACTCACATATCATTCATGTCTCTTAACCTATGACGGCTAAGGCTTAGTCACACCACTTATGAGTCGTGGCACTTAAGCGATATTATAAAAGGGAAAGCTTAGAAAACTAAAGAAGATTCACTTTGGGCGGGTTGGAACCCCTATATATCTCAGCGAAGCCAAGATAAGTCGTGGTCTCGCAGACTCATGTATGTACGACACTCTGCATGGCCTGATTCCTAATCCATGTTCTATTGGTGATTCAATCATTCAATTTAGGTCCGCCTAAATGTACTAAGTGGCCTATTTCTCAATATAAATTCATAATTCTGAGTTAATCACCATTCACCAACAAGCACAATTCAACTCAGGTTAAAAATCATGAGAATACAATCGTATCAAACAACGACCTACCAGGAACCCGAAAGCCCTCCGATTAGCATCATTCCTAGTCAACATAATTCAATGAATTTACAATTGATTCAAATTAAATGTCAAAAAAATCCCAAAACCAATTTGATACTGAAAAATCCGACACCAGGACCCGCTGCCAGCTTTGATGCGAGAACGAACCAGCTCGGCGCCCCCTGATGCCTGCCAGAGTGAGGCATACCCACTGCCGGAGTCTCCGGCCCATTGCCAGAACAATAGTGCAGCGACAGAACCGACGCCGCCCAACCCCTGAAGTTGTTGTTCGGTCGGTAGTGCTCCCTCGCCGGCAGACCCGCCAGAAATTGCCAACAACAAACCCCAAATCCAATTATAAACAATGGAAAGCATTGCTTTTTTATTTTTTATTCTTTTATTTTAATTTTTTTATTTATTTGCTATCTCAGGTATTTTAAATTTTATTAATTTATTTTTTATTTGTATTTATCTATCTTGTTTATTATTATTATTATTTATTTTAAACTTATAATTAATTTTTTGTTTATTATTATTTTTTTTATTCTTTAATAATTTTATTTGTTTATTTCATTTATTATTATTATGATTTTGACTGTAACTTTTTTATTTTTTAAATTTGTAATTCTATTTTTTACTCCCTCCGTCCCAGAATATTTGTCCACTTTCATTTTTACACGCCATCCAATACACTTCTTTAATCCATTTTATCTTGTAATTTGTATATTAAAAAATTATAGAAATTATATATTAATAATCTATATGTTAAGACAAATCAAACAACACATGACTATGTTTAGGTTTACACATTGAGAGAATTTGATAAGTCAAAGTGCTTAGATGAACAATTCCAAAAGTCAAAACTGGATGAATACTCCGGGACAGAGGGGAGTATTACTTATTATTTTATCCCTTTTCAATTTTTATTTATTTAATTATGTACTCCGTATTACGCCGTAATATATTATTCTTTCTCAATTCCCATCCCTCCCCTCTTCCTCCCAAGTCCGAACCAAACGATCTTGAGCTTAAACTCATCTTCGGGACAAAAAGAATCAAAAGTCAATAGTAAATGGAGATCGAAGTGAAGCTCCGATTACCGGACGCCGATTCACACGGAAAGCTCCTTTCGATCCTCGCCCCGTTCCACATTCAAACGCACCACCAGCGCAACACCTTCTTCGACGGGGCGGCTGCTGAGCTCAGCTCGCGGCGCGCCGTTCTCCGCCTCCGCTTCTACGAGCAATCCCAAACCCCTAGATGCGTAGTCTCGCTCAAGGAGAAGGCGGAATTAGTCGGCGGCGTGAGCAGAGTGGAGGAAGACGAGGAGGATCTCGACCCGGGAACCGGGTACGGTTGCGTAGAGGATCCGAGGAAGCTCTCCGAAGTGGATTCCAGGATTCTGAGGAGAGTAAAGCAGGAATTCGCAATTGGGGAATTAGGGTTTGTGGGGTTAGGAGGGTTCATGAATGTCCGGAATGTGTATGATTGGAGAGGTGTGAAGCTTGAAGTGGACGAGACTGTGTACCGTTTCGGCACTCTGTACGAGATTGAATGCGAGAGCTCTGAACCTGACCGAGTGAAGGGGATGATTGAGGAGTTCTTGAAGGAGAAGGGAATTGAATACTCTTATTCTGAGAAGTCCAAGTTTGCAGCATTCAGGGAGGGGAAGTTGCCATTGTAAGTGACTTTCAAGAATTCATCTTATTATCATAACATCATATACAACAATAAGTTTTTGAATTGTGAACATTCATGCTTCTTCTTTAGATATATATATTCAATACAAGTACATTGTTGTGCTCATAGGGAATGTGCTTGATGCTACAATTTGTGTTCCGTGGGTTCGGATTTAATTGATCATTTGTTTCAAAACCACAAATTTAAATCCACATTCGCTTGTATGAGATTTATGATCACAAAGTATTAAATATAGAAATGAAGAACCCAATGCTTATAGATGACAGATCATTAGATACATTTCCCAGTGGAAGGAATGAGGTAATTACAGTACATTTTGGGTTGTTACGATTCACATCCGCCCATATGTAACACTATCAGCTTTTTTTTGTTTGTTTAGAGAGGAAAAGAAGATGGGAGAAGAAATGAACTAAGAAGGAAAACAACATTTCTCGTATTTTGGCGAGGAAAAAGAGAGAAAACATCCTTCTTTTATATTATTTTCAAATTCCACGAAACAAACATCTTTCTTTTACTTTCCTTTTGTATTCAATCATTTGACGTGATTCAGCTCAATTATTTTACGATCCAATCTAGCTACCCTTAGGTTACCCTTAATTTTATCACCCTATTACCCAAGTTATTAACCACAGGCTTATTTCTCAAACTTCCATGTGACTATTTTTCGGTACGGAGATTTTTACCATTAGAACCACACACTTCTTATGCACACGGTTGAATCTACCAGACAACTTTCTTAAAAAGCTATCAGAAACAACTAAAACAAACATTTATCTAAACAGCTGGAACAACAGTTTTGTCAAACATAGCCTGATTATTAGGAGTACTCCGTCTAAGCGGATGAGTAATTCTACAATTGGGTAGCCACATTAGAGTAATAAGATTATGGACAACTGACAAGTGCTGACAAGAATTGGGTAGCCACGGTAGAGGTTCTTTTGGCAATGTATACTACCTGGCTAAAGTATAATTTGGCTATGGGCAAGGTTCTTTTGACCCGAGCAAAAAATCGACCTGAGAATGACCCGGGCATTTTGGGGCATCTACAATGCTCCTTTGTTAAAATTGATGGTTCCTAATACCTAACCTCCATCCCTCCAAAATCTCCCCCAGCCCCCTTCTGGCTTCTACACCCCAACCCAACAGTCCCCCTCTAGATCAACGATTTGGAGGGAGGGGGATTTTGGGAAGATAGAAACCATCAATTTTACTAATGGAGCAGGTGACTGGAGTCACTTTAAAGTTAAAATAGCCCGGATCAAAGGAACCGTAGTGTTTGGCTATTATTCTCATATTGATGTCCTTTTGTAAACCCTATTTTGTATGCATTCTCTGAAAAATATGTCTTTCGTAATCTTAACTTCTAAATTTTATTTTATGGAAATAGCTATACTCTTGTCTCAATTTAGGTTACATGTCACTATTTATATAGTAAGATTTTAGCCATTTTCATTACTCATTTTCGGTATTCATTTGATAAAATAATACTTTCTCAGTCCTAAAAAAGGACTTCTCACCTCAAAAAAAGATTGGTTTTTCCATTTTGGCAAATTTTATGTGGCCTAACATTTTTCTCTCCCTTGCATTAATTTCAACCACAAAATTACAATTTTATTAAACTCTTTGCCAAACCCAATTAGGAGGTTTTTATTGGACAAATGGAGTATAATCATGATACATCTTGTTGTATAGATTTTTTTATATAATTCCTTTTTACTCTCTCTATCTCACAGTTATGGTTCTATTTATTCCAGGCTTCTGATTGTTTTTGTTTGCGTGTGTTTTCATTGATTATTTGATAAAACAAAATAGATAAAACATGTCACCACTTGTTTTTACTAGTATAATCGTATGACTTTTGATGTACTCTCTCTGTTCCATTTTAAATTGTTTCTTTCAATTTACAATGTATGACTGGTTTATTTTTAGTTCAATTTATATGAGAATTGGGGTGGATTTGAAAAATAAATTTGAGATATTTAAAAATTTCATCAAAAGTCCCACAAAACAAGTAGTGACATGATTATTAAACTAGTAACGAACATTAGTATAAATAAATAAATAAATAAAGTTTGGCATTGTAAATAAAGTTTTCATATATGTAATTTGTACTTTTTATTTCTATACCAATTTGTAAATACGCTGCAAAATAATTTTTAAAAAAATGAAATTTTGTATGTTCGAAACAGGACACATTTTTGGAACAGAAGGAAATATAATTTTTTTTTTTAATTTCATATCAATTTTCAATTAAATTGAATTAAAAAATAATTTTAATTGTACATTATAAACCGCAACAGAGAACTTAGACGAAGGGAATAAAATTTATCGCTGGCCTGTGTTCTATTCAAACTGTGATGCTGAAATGTTAAAGAAATTGTCAATAACTGAAAATTGAAATAAAATCATTAGCATTACAACAAAATAATGAGGAAAATGAGAGTAACAATTGTGGGAGTTTTGTAATACAGACCCTACAATAATGATTTTATTCCTAATTTATTGACAATTATGTTTTTTGAGTTACAATAAAGTTAAATAAATAAAAATAGGATCTATGTTACTTTCGTTCAACTTTTGATGTATCTTAAAAATCATACTCCCTCCGTCCCACTGTCTTTGTCCACTTACCTGTTGGCACACCATCCAATGCACTTCTTTAATCTATTTTATCTTGTAATTTATATATTAAAAAATTATAAAAATTATATATTAATAATATACTCCCTCCGTCCATAAAAGAACTTCCCGGTTTGATCGGGCACGCAAATTTATGTGTAATGAAAATTGTATTGACTTTCCCATTATACCCCTCAACATATTTGTCCTCTCCACCCGCCAAAAGCCATCTACAGCTGTTGCTAATGCCGGCGGAGGTTCACCGCCGACCACTCTTCGACACCACTGTCCCCCACCCGCTGCAGTCACAGACCTGCAATCCCCTCCATCCCAACCCCCTTCGGTCTTCACTGACTCCTCCCTACACACTATCCAATAACTACAACCTCCCTCCTTCCTGTACGGGTTGAACGCCCGCCGACGAACCTCCATCTAGATCTTCCCCTTCATCTGGCATATTAAAAGAATAGATCTGAAAATTGTAAATACAAATTAGAAATAACGGAGAAGTTGCCGACGGAGATCTATTCCGATATAAGGAATTTACCATTTGGATCGGATATGATGAAATTAACCAAAAAAAATTAGAGAGAAAGGGAGAAGATCGAGACAAAGGAGAGAAATAGAGAAGAATTTGAAGATTGAGAGGCTAATGAGAGAAGATGTTGAATAAATTACTCCGTAAGAAAGAGTGGTGGGGAGGATGAGAGAGAAACTTGCACCAGAAATGTGGATAGACTGGGTTAATAGTTTAGGCCTTTAGGGTGATAAGGGTAGTAGTGTCTTTTTAAGATAAAAATTTTGCCATTAAAGGAAATGGGAAGTTTTTTTGTGGACAACCAAATATGGAAAGTGGGAAGTTCTTTTATGGACGGAGGGAGTATATGTTAAGACGAATCAAACAAGATCACACATGACTATTTTTAGACTTACACATTGAGAGAATTTGATGAATCAAAGTGCTTAGATGAACAGTTCCAAAAGTTAAAAGTGGATAAAGACAATGGGACGGAGGTAGTAATATTCATGAGTTATTTACTGTAGTATGTAGGGAGTAATCTAGATAAATAATGTTAATGTGATAATGCTGTAACCCAACAGTATTACGGAGTACGAAATGCCTAAAAAAATATCTACAAATAATAGTAATAATGGTAATGGTAATGGCAAGGTAACGGGAATGTGAATGGGAATGGCAAGGTTAGGGTGATAGTGAGTTCACATACTCTACTGTCCCAAAATGAGCTTATCTTTATTTGTCACGCCAAACTTTTGACAATGTTAGTGTGTTCATTAATACTACTCCCTCCGTCCCTGAGTATTTGTCCACTTTTGACTTTTTTCGGTCAAAATTAGTAAATTTTGACCTCAAATTAAATAAAAATGATATTAGATATTGATACAAAAAGAGTTTTATTAGATTTATTATATCAAATATTTTCAAAATATTATTTTATTTAATTAAAATACAATATATATTTTATTTAATTATAGGTCAAAAGTTGAAAATAGTTGACCGAAAAAAGTCAAAACTGGACAAATACTTAGGGACGGAGGTAGTATTTGACTATTTGTATTGTTCATTTTGACTTTTTCGAGTCAAATTGGACAAATTTTAAACTCTAATTACTCTAAATTTATATTGCATATTAGTATAATGAAATATAATTTTGAAAGTTCTCAATACGATAAATTCAATAAAGTCATTTTTATGTTAAAGTACATTGCAGTTTTTATTTAATTAAAGCTCAAAGTTTGTACAGTTTGACTCGAAAAAGTCAATCTGAACAAATACACTGGGACAGAGGGAGTATGAAATATACTCTGGGTACCCTCAATTTTTTGGTAAGAGCTCTTAGGTTTCACTTTATGCGAAATGTACTTTGGGTTCTTCAAATTTGTGATATTATAATTAGAAGGTACATTTCGTCCATTTAGGCGTCAGGATTGAAAGTTTTTTAACTTTGAGAAACTGAAAGGTTTATTTAAATTTAATAAAATAATGATTATGAAGCGAAAATTTAGTATTTGTCAGAGTACCAAAACTTTTAATTCTAATTGTCAAATAGACAGAATGTACCCAAAGAATACATTACCAATATTTTTAAGGACTCCATAGTATTTCAAATAATGTGAGATTTGAGAGTTCTTACCAAAAAATTGATGGTACCAAAGAGTATATTTCAGATAAAGTGGGACCTAAAAGTCATTACCACGGAGTATTTTTTTTTTGAAAAGTTTGGTGTTGATAATAGAATGTACTACTCCGTATACTTTTAGTACAGTATGGCCTTGTTTGATACATGAAATTCAAATTGATGACTTCAATTCTAATTTTGGTGTTTGGTAGAACAAAAATTATGTGAATTTAGAATTGATAGTGCCAAAAATGAATTGAAATTTGTGAATTCAATTCTATGGAATTGAATCTCATTGAATATCAATTTCAATTGCATCAATTCCGTATACCAAACGGAGCCTAACATTTACTTTTAACGGGCTTTCATTAAAAGACACCAAACTTTTGACAATGTTAGAAGCCGTGAATCATGTCAGAGTTGTGAGTTGTGACACCTTTTTTATGGCAACTGTGTCACTTTTATGCAACAAATATCATGACATTGTTAGACCTCAAAGTGTCATATTATTATATGGAGCAATTGAAAAACGCAGAGTTATGATATTGTTTAAAATGTTTTGACATTGAAATGGAAAAAAGATCATCAACAAAAATATAGTAGCATATACCAAAAGTCGCATCAATCCCTCGAATAATAAAAGCGCAAGCGCGCAAGTGTCTAAACAAGGACGGGCCAATTCCTAAAAGCTACAAAGAAGCCACACAAGGCTTAAAGTTCAGTCCTAGTTACTAACATTGAATCCCAACCATTACAGCGGCATAATGAACATCAAATACACCTTCACTTTCTCTTCTTCAAAGGTGGTCCTTTAGGTTCATCATCCTTCTCCTCATCCTCCTCATCCTTGTCCTCCTCCTCATCCTCCTCGTCATCATCAGCAGCATCATCATCATCGTCGTCATCATCATCTTCGTCGTCATCGTCGTCATTATCATTCTCATGTTTTTCCTCAGGATCTCCACCATCATCGTCGTCCTCTCCACCATCCTCAGATGCATCATCATCATCATCATCATCATCTTCATCATCATGATCATCATAAACTTCATCTTCATCATCTTCATCGTCATCCTCGGTATCACTGCCATCCTTATTCTCAGCGCCAGCTTTAGTCTTCTTGTGAAGCTCCTCAAAGGGAAACCTTCATGCATTATTTCACTTCAGTTCTTCTATAAGAAGCATAGGATTCTCTGATGTAAACATGAAAAACAAACAAATTCTTACCCGTGTTCAACACATGCCAATTTGAGGAATGTGCCATCACTCCTGAGAAAGCATCCCATCTGGAAACATCAGTACACATCTATAAGGGAACCTTATACAAAGGGCAAGATTCTTTTTTCCAGCGGATGTTTAATCAAAGTAGAATTAGCAAATGCAAAGAAAAAAAAAGAATTGTTCAAGACATTTACAGAAAAAGATGGTTGCCAACAAAAAGCAGAATAGAAACTTGCACAAGAGAGTAATCAAGACTCAAAATGGCAACAGAAAAATTAAACAAAAAGGTATTTATGAGACAACAATGAAAACCAGCTTTGAGAGTAAAGTTAATGGACTCACACAGTTACACGTATATGTCTTTGCGACTTTGTCATCCCATGTAGTTGTGCAGGCATTACAGTATGGATATAACTTGATTCGGTAAGTGCTTTAACAGTTTAACCCAAAAATCTTGATGTTCTAGTATATCTTGATTCGCCTCAAGTTGTTTTCAATAGAATTTACTCTGTATCTAATTATTAGTGCTAAATATAAAAAAATGATATTTTTTAAAACCACATCAAAAGTTCTAGAAAATAAGAGGTGACGTGACTATTTTATTTTGAATATATGCAAGGAAAGGGGGTATAGCTTGACATTGTGACTAGTAACACGGAAGATAATTTTGAAACGAGGAACTGTTTTTTCAAGTTAAACAAGATATCTACATCTGTTCCTCTGGGTGCAACTTAGTTAAGTATATCTTCAATTTTTTTTAATCAAGTTAATTATGTATATCTTCAGGTTAACATTAAAGGCAGAAGAAAAAAGCTATGTGCCACTATATATAAAACACAAAGCTGAATGCATGTACAAGTATAAAACAATTGCCAAACAATGCAATGAATTATTTAAAGCATGGTAACAAAACATAATTCTCTCCGATGTTATGGGTGATTGGTAAAAACCAATAATGTAGACTACATTATTGGTCATAACCAAACACCTAATACATAGAGGGAATAATGTGTGGTAACAGCCAACTGAGAAGGAAAAGTAAAATGTGACTACTTTACAGAAAAGACATCTACTTCTAAAGGTATGCCTGTTTGATGGGCTGAAGGTCAGCTATTAACCAAGCTTTTATCATCCTTTAACTTGGAAAGGGGAGTGATAAGAAAATATTCAGACAAACTATTTAAAGCACAGCAAAATTGGAATAAAGAAAATGGTTAATGAGTATATTGCGTGTGACATTAGATAATGGAAAAATAAGATTTTGGTAGAAGACCTCGGTAGACCTTCAATTGGTTAATGCAGCCGATCTATTGAACCGGGTTTTTTTAGGTTTGCTTTTCCAGTTAATCTTTTTCTTCTTAAAATAGAGCATTAATTCTAGCTTAACTGGTAATACATTCTTGCTTACTAAAATATTACTTTCCAGTGCAGCATATACATCTCCAGTTTTCAAGAATTATTATAAACTCTTCTTGCATAAGAAGTTGAATTGTCTAATATCTATGTAACTTACATTTTATAGGAAAAAAGTATGGAGAGCAAATAAAAAATATGTCACTTCAACAGATCAACCTTCAGATATTTGCCCATAAACTCCATAAGTGAGGGAAAACCAATTACAACACAGCTAGGCACTAAAGAGAGAAAAATCAAGTGTCAACCATCCATATGAAGCTATGAACTAAATAATTTGATGTTTTAAGATACCCCATTGATTAAGAACACATATTTAAAAAGAAGAAGAAGAAGAAGAGAAAGGGACATAGAAGCTAAAAGAGAGTGAAAAAGAACAGAGATATCAATAAATCTTCGAAAACAGTGTAAATGATAAGGAGTCAATACCACCATGAGGACAAAAGCAGCAGATCTCTGAGAAACCAGAACGGTCTCGGCTACCAAAGCATCGAACAGAGACCTCACAACAGTTTCGCTCGGAAGAGACAATCCAGAGCTCAAACCACTCACCTCCATTGCTCGAAAATTTTCAGAAGAAAGTCTGCACAAATTGCAGAAAACGGAAGAGCGGAAGAGGGACTGAGAGAGAAACAGCAATGACGAGTGACGACACAGGTGAAGGGCCGGAGCGGGTTCTGGGTTAGGGTTTACGTTGGGTATCCAAGGTCCAAACAGGTCGTCTTCTTTGGTGCAAAAAGTCCAAACAGGTCTTCTTCTCTTTTGTGCAAAAAGTCCAAACAAGTATTCAAATACTAATATACTTTTAATCTTCTTATTTGATTTTTGTTGGTCAAAGTTTATAAATTTTAATCTTAAATACAATAACAATAATTTTCTTTTGAAAGGGTTAAATTTAATAAAATATACTCCGTATCAACGTATATCTGTTTTTCCAAAATAATAAAAGTGTTACATTAAAGACCGTTAAAAGTCGAATGAGAAGATTAAATCTAGACGAGCGAAGTACTTAGTACAATTAAAAGGGTGTTTTAGAGCATTTAATTTGTTGATAAATGTTTTTTACAAAATTTTAAAGCAAAGATACTTTGTATTAGTTTTCTAAAATGATGTTCTATGTATAAAAATTTATTCGTGAGTGTTTGAGAGTAGCTTTTATTAAAGTGAAATTTGCACTAAATAGGACTAAAACATAATGACTTTCCTAATGTAGGACTAAAACTTTTTTATTCCCTAAATATGACTTAATAATGACCTCGTGGGAGGAATAATGTCTAGTAATGCTAGACATTTACTTGAATAATGACTACTTGTTAATGACCAAAAGTCTTACATTGAGAAATAAAAACATATGGTCCTATATTGGGAAAGTCGTTATGTTTTAGTCCTATTTAGGTAAATTTCTCTTTATTAAAAATCTGAATGAGCGTCTTATTAGTTACTTCGTATTATATTGCCATTATATGCATATATTTACTTTGTCACATAGTGTTCATTTCTACATGATTTCAATAATGGTAATAATAGCATTAATAGTTGAAATAAGAATATTATAAAAAGAGAAAAGTACACTATTTGCCTCTGAACTCTTTTGAAATTGCATGGTTTACCCCTCAACGTTAAAAAGTGCACTGTTTACCCTCAAACTCTTCAAAAATTACACGATATACCCTTGAACATTAAAAAATGCACCAAATACCCCCAAACAATTTAAAACGTTGCATTGTTGGTCCTAAAATGTTAGATAGGGAGTGCGTTGCTCCCACGCACGAGAATTACGAGTATGATTTATCTGGCCCTTGTGAATTTTCCAAAGTACTCTTCCCCCGAATTATCGTCTTTATCTAAATATTTAGGGGTAAACCGTGCTATTTCCGAAGAGTTCCGGGACATTTGGTGTGTTTTTTTATGTTTAGGGGTAAACCATGTAATTTATGAAATATTTAGGGGTATTTGGTACTCCCTCCGTCCGGAAATATTCTTCCCATTTTCCTTTTTGGTCCGTCCGGAAATATTCTTCTCATTTCCTTTTTTAGTATACTTTTTAAGGCTAAATATCAATAATACCCTTCTATTTTATCACAAATATACTTTTTTAGTACTTTTTTAATAATAAAAGGAGACTTAAAAGTTTATAGTATGTGCATTTTTGAAAATTTTGCATTTTTTTTACTATTCCTTAATAAGCGTGTCAAGTCAACACGGGAAGAACATTTCTGGACGGAGAAGTATATTTTTTAAAATTCAACGGTAAACCGTGCAATTTCAAAAAATTCAAGGGTAAAAAGTATAATTTTTTCATTATAAAAAAGGCCCGTAAATTATTCTAAATCATCGTTGGAACGAACTGAATGAATTTGAAAACAATTACTTTAACGAAGAGTTAGAAGAAAATAGAAGAATTTTAAAAAAAAACTTAAAATTGTTCCTACTGACAGTCTGAAGCAAAGTACATACCAGACTACCAGTTGTCATTAAAACATAGTGGTATTTATTATTATTATTAATTGATTTTGTATTCTATTATCGTTATAATTGTTATTCTGCTATGATTAAACTCTCTTTTATGATCTCTATATATATGGATGAAACATTCATTATTCAATAAACCAATTATTATCATATTGTATTATGCGTGATATGAGAGTAAGGATTTCTTCGTCTCCAAAAAAACAATTGCGTGTGTGCCTAATAATAGCCTCCACCGATCCGGACGGAGTGATAAGATGGCATGCCATGGCATTCCATTGCCACTGCATCGCATGCCACTCGCTGACTCGATTGTTTTTAAATATATTACTCCCTACCATATGTTTTCTCGGTGCCATAATGATGCTCCCATTAAGGATGACAATGGGTCAGATTCAAGTTGGATAGTACTATATCCGAACCCGACCAGACTTTTAAAACCGAAACCCAAACCCGACTTTTTAAGCCAAAAACCCGTACCGAACCCGACATTTAAACCCGAAACCCGAACCCAACTTTTAACCAATAATCATTCAACGTACTCCAATAATTTTAAAAAGATTAAATCTAATTTTGTGTGTTCTTTTTTTATTAAGGAATTATAAAAATGATTAAAAAAGGCATACTTGATATAGTAGCACTTTGTTAAGAAAATATTCGGGTTTGAGTGTGGTTGGATGCGGCTTCGGGTCTGATAAAATTATAAATCCACACCCGACCCGACCCGATGTCGGATTCGTGTAAAAAAAATTCAGGTCGAGTTTGGATTATTTTATTTTCGGTTCGGATTCGAATGTTTTAGTGGTCTGTCGGGTCGGTTAAGCTCGGGTTCGGGTTGAATTACCATCCATAGCTCCCATTTTGATTTTTATGAAATTTAAGGAAGAGATATTTTTGTGTCGACTTTCCAAAAATACTTTTGTGATGGGTAAAAGTAGGATGTGATGGATATCTTATTAGTAAAAAGTATGATGTGATAGTTAAGTTAAAAATTAGTATGGATAAAAGCAATTTTTAATATAATAGGGAAGGAATTTATAGGACAAGAAAAAAAGAAAACGGGAGGAGTTTTTGGGACGGATGGAGTATTTCTTATATTGTCTTTTTGGAATATTTAGAAACTAAAGATTAATTAAAAATCATCCTAAATAAAAGTAAAACATATTTTCTCTATCTCGAAAAGATTGCAATAAACATTTTAGAATAAAGGACTATTTGGAAAATTACTCATAAACATTTTAGAAATTACTCCTTATAACTTTAGAAGAACTTTGGAAGTGCAAATTGAAGAATCAAATTCGTAATGCGAAAATTATACCGATTCAATTTGTTTCTTAGAAACTAATGGTCATTGGCAAGTGGCAGCATACACAATAAAATAGATGCATGAGTTACGGGCAGTTGCCAAGTCCTCTTAAAATGTGGATCCTGCTGGTTAATTATTTATTTCATCACCACAAAAACTCGACCAATCCACCACTATAAAACGCCACTCACCAGCCTCCATCATGCATTGCAATTGCAAACCACAACAAGCCTAGAGCTTCAAAACACAACTACTTAACCATAATAATGGAGCCTCCAAACCATGTCACCATAGCCCTTTTCATTTGCATGCTCTTCACCACTTCATTAGGGGATCCCCTATTAGGATTCTTGCCTAATGATGCATCTCAAAAGGCTAAGCCACCCTCATCCCCTTCACCCAAGCCACACCCGCCCGCGCCTACACCCAAGGCACCGACGCCAAAGATGGAAGAAACACTTGCATCCGCCCCGCCAAAGCCACACCCACCCGCTCCCTCACCCAAGGCCCCAAAGATGGGACGAAGGCTCTCGTCGGTCCCACAAAAGCCCGCACCCAAGCCACACCCACCCGCGCCCTCACCCCATGCGCCCTCACCAAAGGCACCAAAGATGGAACGAACCCCTTCATCGGCCCCACCAAAGCCGCATCCACCCACGCCTTCACCCAGGGCGCCATTGCATCCGCCCCCACCAGCCCCAAAGGTTGTGGTGGGACGAAGGCTCGCGTCGGTCCCACAAAAGCCTGCACCCAAGCCACACCCGCCCTCACCCGCCCCCTCGCCGAAGGCACCATTGCATCCACCTCCACCAGCACCAAAGAGAGATACTGAGGAAAGGCTTTTGACGACATTGCCTCCATCGCCTAAACCCTCACCAGAGCCCGCGCCCAAACCCTCACCTAAGCCGGCACCAAAGCTCGCACCGAAGCCCGCGCCCAAACCCTCACCAAAGCCAGCGCCGAAACCGGCACCCAAACCGGCACCAAGGATGTGGAGAAAGCTGACTTCAATGCCACCTCCAACATTTAAGCCTGCACCAAAACCGGCACCGAAGCCCGCTCCAAGGCCGGCGCCCAAACCAGCACCCTAAGCCGGCTCCGAAAATGGCATAGAATGGTGGTTGATTTGAGATGGGTTCAATTCGTCTTAATAAATGATTCCAATAACTCTTGTGATGATGAGCTGTTTCTGCGGTCATTCACTTGTGGCTTCGGATTGAGATTTTGTGTTACATTAGAGGAAACGTTTTGAATAATTGTCAACGATCACGATCTCTTTTGTTATAGACAGATTGTTTTTAATAAAGCATTGCCTTTCCTTTTTCGTGCAAATTATTTTACTCCTTTCCCCGTCTTTTTATACGGAGTATTTTAGTAGAAAGATAAAATTTCAAAAATATACTCACTAGACCGGACAAAAATTGGACTAACCTGTTTTTTACTGAGACACGATCCTGAATAGTGAGTTTTGAAAACAAAGGTCTGGTTGATCAAACCGGATGATAACTGAATCTCAAATGATAATTAAATAGGTCAAACTCGACCAAATCGTAATCTGACTTGACCGTCCCACTAATGTAAGAATATTTCAAAATTATATTCCCCCGTCACAAAAACATTTTCTCTTTCTTCCTTTTTCTATTAAAAAAACACTTTTATCCATATTAATACTTAACCTAATTATCATATCATACCTTTTTACTAATAATATATCTATCACATCCTACTTTCATCCATCACATCAATGGTATTTATGAAAAGTTAACACAAAAATATTTCTTCCTTAAATTTCCTAAAATTTAAAATGGAAACATCTTTATGGAACGGAGGAAGTGTATTTTAATATGAAAAATAGTGTGATCAAATAAGATTATGTTTTAATTTTTTTCTTATTACTCATTTTTACTGTATAAACATATACTCATCTGTTTCATAAAACGGTTCATATTTTGACTTTTAGGTGAAATATGAAGTATATATTTTTCGTTGACTTTTCAACTTCTCTCTTGATGTGATGGATAAAAGTACGATGTTTAATGATAAAAGTATAGTGTGATAAGTATGGTGAGAAAAAGTAAGGGTAAAAGTGATTTTTTAATAGAAAATGAAAGTGTTTTTTATGGAAAAAAATGAATGAGGAAGTATTTTAAGAAACGAATCAAGTATTTTGATACAAGTTTTTTAAGATATCACATGCTCCCTCCGTCTCCCAATATTTGTCCAACTTTGACTTTTGAAACTGTTTATCTAAGCACTTTGACTCATCAAATTCTCTCAATGTGTAAGCCTAAATATAGTCATGTATGATCTTGTTTGATTTGAATATATGATTACTAATACTCCGTATATAATTTCTATAATTTTTTAATATACAAATTACAAGATAAAATGGATTAAAGAAGCGTATTGGATGGTGTGTAAAAATGAAAGTGGACAAATATTGGGGGACGGAGGGAGTAACTATTTTATACTCCCTCCGTTCCTTTAAACCTTTTCACTTTTGAGTTTTGGCAAAAATAAGCTAAGGAGGGTGTAATTTTGGTTGACTTTCCAATTTTGCCCCTGATGTGATGTGTAAAAGTAAGGCGTGATAATTTGGTTATTAGTGAAAAAGTATGATATGATAGGTACGGTATGAAAAAAGTAAAAGTAAAAGTGGTTTTTTAAAAGAAAGTGAAAGTGTTTTAGGGAATTCAAAAAATGAAAGGGGAAGGATATTGTGGAACGGAGGATTATTTTTTTCAAAAGTGATGCATTTTAATTTTTTTACTATTGATTACGTACTTTGTTTAACATATCTAAAAAGGAATTAAAATTCAAAATAAATACTCTAAGTGGTTTAATATAAGTATTTTGATATTTTAATATTATTTTTAGTGCAAAACGGAAGTGCCAGTAAAAATAATATAGTATGAATTTGAATATTTTTGAAATAATTCTTATAATCCGTTGGGTCGATCCGAACTCGATGACACTAGGTCATGAACATGTATTTCTCAACTCGAACCTAAGTTAATCCGAACCGGATGTAACACGAATCTGAAGTGATTGAATCCGAACTAACCAATCGATTTTCCAACTCTAATTCTTGGGATATAACGCATAAAATATACGGAGTATACCAAAATAGAAGCTACATGTTTTTATTATCAAAATACGGAGTATGAGTTAAAATGCATATACAATACCAATGATTCCAATATATAATGCCAAAAAATTGTAAAATGTTCATACACAATGTCACATTATCACAATGCAAACTTATATTTTGATGATAAAACCCAGAACTCCTATTTTGGTATATATATATTCTCTTTGTTTTACTCCTATAAAATATTGTTTCTTTATACTCCATTTCTTTTGTTTGGAACTTCTCAATTGAACTTTCACATTCTTTAATGCACTTTTTTGACCATTAATATCATTATTTATATAGATATATTATAAAGTTATAATATTTCAAAGCTACGTTTCGAAATAATTTTATTGATATTACCAACAAATTAAACCTCTCCCCCCGCCTCTGTGTTTCTTTTACATCTTTCATTATGTTTAATTCAAAAAAATTTTAACAAACAAAATACATATAATTAAAATAAAAATGCTAATGATAAGGACACTCTTTATTTAAAAAAATCTCGAAATAAAAAAAATACACTAAAATAAAATTAATATTTAAAAAAATATAGCGAAAATTACCTCGAGAACAAAAAAATGTAGCTAGCTTAAAAGTAAACATAAAAGCTATACATATTTCTTTAACGTAAGTCTGTTTATAAGCATAGTAAAACACATCATTAAACTAATAAATTAAAAACAAATTATAAACAATTTTGACCCAATTATCAACTAGCATAGAGAAACATTTTTTTAAAGTGAAATTTGCTTTTCTAAATCTTCAATGTAGGCTAGAAAAAGAATACTCTGTATACTTTTGTTTAAAGTTTTTTAAAAGTATTATGAGGTAAATGTTTCCTTAAAAGGAAAACAATTGAATTTTTTCATAACAAATGGAGAAATAAATTGGCTGATACCGAATTTCCACTTTAGTGAAGGGTTCAATGTACACCATGCTTAGGGTTTCAACCGTGTTACAATTACACTAACTAACAAGCTAGTGTAATATAAGGCTCCGTTTGGTACACGGAATTCAAACTATGGAAATGGAATTGATGACTTCAATTTCAATTCTCGTGTTTGGTAGCATAAAAATTATGTGGATTTGGAAAGGGAGAAATACGAATATAGCACTTTAATAGGCTTATAATACGCAAAATAGCAGTGCTATAAGTTTTTGAGATGAATTCTCAATATTGCCCTTAATTAAATAAATTTGTATTATACACAATTAGGTTAAAAAATAGTAATTGGCCGCTGACCTCACGGCATTTGAACGCAGCACAGCTTCACGACCTTGAAGGTGGCAGTGCTTCACGCAAGATTACCGCAAAACACACGGCCTTGAAGGCAGCAGTTTCGAGAAGGGAGATGCAGTGCTAGGGTTTCAATGGCAAGCGATGATGCGCTGTACGAGATTCCTCTAAGCAAACAAATGGAGAAGATACATGTATGCTTCGTTTTGGCAGTGAATTCGTTACTTTGGCATAGTTGTAAGGTTGGTAGTAGTTTGGCATACTAGTTATTTTATCGGCAATACAATTGTTTAATTTGGCAGTGAATTGGTAGCTTCGGCATTAGATTTGGCTTGTTTTTGGTTTCACAATAGTCATGGCGCACCGTTTAGGGTTTGTGTTATGTACTGTGTAATTGTTTGGCAAACAAATAGTGAAGAACCACTGCCAATGAACTCAATAGGGGTGTCTTGACCAATGCTAGAGAAGAACGTCATTGCTTAGACCATGAAGAAGCATTGGAATGAATTTTTTGTGGTTTTAGCAAAGGTTTTTTTCCTTAGGTAGTGTGGTTTTTTGTTTTTTAAAGCTTGGCAGTGTGTTTTTTTGAAACATAATGATTTTTTTTGGGGTTTTTTAAAACCGTTTAGGTTTTTTTTTGTGAATGTTGGACGTAATTTTTTTTTGGGTTTTTTGTTTCTCGGCAGTGTGTTTTTGGGGTTTTTTGTTCTCCACTGAAACATAATTATTTTTTTTGGGTTTTTGTTTCTTGGCTGTGTGTTTTTTTGAGTTTTTTTTACTTGAGGCAATGAGTTTTTTTTGGTGAATGTTGGCAGTGGGTTTAAGTTGTTGTTGGCAGCGTGTTTTTTGTGAATTGTGGCAGTGGGTTTAAAGAAGAATATGTGGTAGTTAAGTATTATGATTTAGTGAAAGCGATTTTACCTTTGTTGAATATGTAAATAATACCCAATGTTTACTGACTTTGAAATACATATACATATGCAGGTGTAATTGTGGTTATGTTTGTGGTGAAATTCGTGGAGTTTCTAATGATGGATCTAGACATGCAAGAAGTGCAGTCATGTGACATGGAAACTTACTGGGTTAAAATGACAACAGAACTTTTAGCTTATAACTATGAAAGAAAGGAAGAATCCAGGAACCAATAGATTTTTCTCTGTTATGTTGGATAATTTAATCTTCGTATGACAGTTGTTTGGTGTTTTTGTTTAAAATTTTCGGTGTTATTCATGACAGTTTTTTTAGTAATAATTTATGGGTGTTTAATTTATAAGTGATTTGAGAAGTGAATTAGTGGAAAGTTTTATACAAGTGCTTATCATTGATTTGGCTTTATTTGGAGCATACATTGAAATATGTTGTCACTCTAAGAGTTTGTATGGAGCATACATTGCAACATTTCATAGCACACTAACCAAAAATATTGGACAAAATACATTGCCAAAAGTTATACGCATATCACGACCATTTCACACTTCCAAAAAACTTTACGCTTACACTGCATATCCACTTTATATGGAACTCAATGAAAAATATATAATAGTGAGATTTGTCTATATAGATCACTTTTGACGAAAAGACACTAGCGAAACTTGGTCATAGGACACTGCCAAAAAGTGTTGAAAGACGTTGGCATGCCCAATACACCGCCACAATATATACACTGCCACAATATATCTACACTGCCACAATATATACACTGCCATATTGTTAGCCACAATATGTACTTCCAAAAATTCAATGTCTGAAAGACACTGCCACAATATATGCACTGTCAAAAATTCAATGTCTGAAATACAATGCCACAATATATACACTGCCACAATATATCTACACTGCCATAATTTGGGCAATCACAGAGCATACTTCTCATAGTTTCTAAAAAAATATTTTAGTTTGTTTATGAAGAAAATTAAATAAATATACTTTCTGAACAAGGATTCTGAGATTTTTGAGCAAATTCGTGCTGATAACGTGTTGTAAAATGAGAGAAAAACTACTCAGATATTAAGAGAATAGATATAATATAATACACTGCCACAATATATACACTGCCACAATATATACACTACCACAACATATCTACACTGCCACAATATATACATTGCCATAATGTTAGCCACGATATGTACTTCCAAAAATTCAATGTCTGAAATACACTGCCACAATATATGCACTGCAAAAAATTCAGTGTCTGAAATACAATGCCACAATATATACACTGCCACAATATATCTACACTGCCATAATATATCTATACTGCCACAATATATCTATACTGCCATAATATAAAGCTTCCATGAGTATCCCATGTCCCATTAACACGTAGCAATATCGTCAAATTTGGACCCATCTGTGATGCTCCTTTTAAATAATAAAAGAGAAAATATTCAATTAAATTAAATAAAGGAATGAACTCAAAGAATAGACGTATAACCTAATATGCGATGAAAATGTTGGATTTAATGGAGGTGGTGAATACAAAAACACATCGTGTATATATATATATATATATGTATATATATATATATATATATATATATATATATATATATATATATATATATATAAAAGAGAAATGAACTCAAAGAATAGACGTATAACCTAATATGCGATGAAAATGTTAGATTTAATTGAGGTGGTGAATACAAAAACACATCGTGTATATATATATATATATATATATATATATATATATATATATAAAAGAGAAATGAACTCAAAGAATAGACGTATAACCTAATATGCGATGAAAATGTTAGATTTAATTGAGGTGGTGAATACAAAAACACATCGTGTATATATATATATATATATATATATATATATATATATATATATATATATATATATATATATATAATTCATACTACTTCTACCTCAAATTAATTCTTAAGCTTAATGATACAGTCAAGCACACCAGAAACATAGGCATTCAACATGTTCAAAGGACCAAATACTTGGTATTTCAAAACAACACCTAAACATCACACTCCCAACTACAATTCAATAAACATTGGCAGTGTGAAATCGAAATAAGTGAAAGGCATTACCGTTGTTGTGTTTAGCATAATTTTATTAAAACAACAATTAATGGTGTCAAAGAAAAACCCGAATATGGTACAAAGCAAAAGCCGGGGTAGTGGATTCGCCTTCGCCCAAAATAAAAATTAAAACAAAAAAAAAAAATAGGTAAATCAAAGAAGGAAGCATGGGAAAGAACCTGATTTATCCATTGCTTAGAGAGATGTGGTGATGATGATCGTCACTGCTAATCGGCGAAGGAATCGCTGGTAATGGAGTGAAGACGTAGACGAAGGAGACCCGCGTAGGTGGATGCGCACGAGGTAATTGGACTCCTTCAATAACCTAATTTTAATGGAAAAAAATAAAAAGGGATAAAGGGTATGATAGGAAGGGTTTGACACCATAAATAGCTAAGTTTGTAAAAAACAATGGATAATGCTAAATGCGTATTTTTGGGTGAGTTAGAGTGCTATGTAGGGTGATTTCTTATTTGGGGAAGGGAAATGGTAGTACAAAAAATGAATTAGAATTGGTGAATTCAATTCTATGTAATTGAATTCCATGCAATTTTAATTCCAATTCCATCAATTCCGTGTACCAAACGGACCCTAAAGTTACATGAAAAACATACACTAATATTTTGATGTTGCACACTAATACAAAATGTGAGTGCAATAAAAATAATTTACACTAACAGTGTGAATTATCACCTAGCATTACATTCGCACAAAATGAAGGTGCACACTTATAATGAGAAGTTTTTTTGGAACGGAGAAAAAACGAAAAGGAAACTTTTTTTGCAGAACGGAAGGGAGTATAATTTGGGGTACAAATAGCTTAATCCTTAAGGTTTTGTTTGAGAATAATATTTTTCAATTCTCTGAATCATTAGTTGGCAATGGTCCAAATTTGTTTTTGAAAATTAGCCGTTAGGGCAAAAAAAAGTAAAAAAATTTGAAAATTCTCACTATTTAAACAAAACACTCATCAACTCATATTTTTCATACACTTCCCATCCATTTATTTGGATTCTCAACGGGTCATTTTTCTTTTAAACATTTTTCGCCACAATGTCGTCTCCTTCACACACTTCCAATAGTTTTATTGTGTCTCAATTACTTTAATGTATCAATTTTATTACTCACTCCGTCCCACTAAGATGTTCTCATTTTGACTTTTGGTGGTTTTTAAGGAGAGTTTAAAAAAGGTGAAAGTTTACCATAATACCCTTAATGAAAAATGAGTGGAGTTTATTAAATGAGGTGAGTGAGGTGTAATAAATAAAGTAAGTGGGGGTAGTTGTGGTATTTTAATTGTTAAAAAATGAAATGAGAAGATCTATTGTGGACTAAGAAAAAGGGCTATTGGGAAAATGTATGGGGGACGGAGGGAGTATTACTTTTAATTTAATTTTAACGTATAACTTTAAATGTTTGAAGAAGAAGAATAGGGAAAGGGGAAAAGAAAGGAAAAGAAAATTAAAAGTTGACGTGACACTCAATTGGAATAAGACCATCTCCAATGGGATGCCCAAAGGAGATGTTCAAATGAGAGAGAAGAGGATGTTTATAGATGCTACTATTGGAGATAGATGCTTAGAGTAGATGTTCAAAGAAAAAAAAGAGTGAGAGATGCTCAAGAGAGCACCGGGTGCTAGCATTCAAAATTATGTGTGTATTCTTTCTTTTTCTTTTTCTTTTTTTTGTAAAATAAGTCTTTTTTTAATAATACATTCTCTTTTCAATATTTTTTCTCTTTATTTCTTTAACGTGTAGTGATGCTACAATCCTATACCATTATTGTGTCTCTTTTTTTTGGAAAAGAATCTTTACAATTTTTTTTTAAACAAACCATTTTCGCAAGTTTTTTTTCTTTTCATTTTTTTAACATGTAGTGATACCATGAAAAATTTGTTTGAAGTTGTGTTTCATTTGATTGAGTTTGATCTGCACAAAAAATTGAATAAAAAAATAAATACTCTATAAAAATATGACACCCTATTTTGTTTTTAGTAATACCAACATGTCTTTAATTTTTTTAATCAAAATATTTAGCAAAAAAAGTCATTAATAATATTTTTAATTATTTATATTATTTTTTCCAAAAATATCAGTTTAATTAATAATTTATTACTCCATATTTAACACTCCTATATATATAATATAAAAAATTAAAATTAAAAAAGTAATAAAAATTGTTTCTATATGTGAGTAGGATTCGCCTAAGGCATCTCAACGAGGTGTCACCATTAAAACATTTAGATGTTCAAAGAGATGCCACAATAATATTTTTAAAGTAGAGCCCACAGTTGAGCATCTAATGAGAGGTGTTACCACTGTGGATGCTCTAAGGGGAATAGGGGATGAGGAGGGCACACCCCATAGCCTTAACAGGAAAGCAATTGAATTTTTTTCATTACAAATGGTAAAAGAAATTGACTAATACCGATTTTCCACTTTAGTGAAGTGTTCAATGTGTACCATGCTTAATGTTTTTTAGCCATGGTACAATTACACTAAAAAAAATATATCCCAAAGTTACACTAAAGTCATACATTAATATTTTTATGTTTCATACTAACATAAAATATAGGTGCAAAAAAAAAATAATTTGTACTAACATGTTGTAAGTGTGTGAATCATCACCTTAGCATCACACTGATACAAAATGAAAGTATACACCTATGGTTTACGATTTGGAATGCAAATTTTGGGTAGAAAATATTGAGGTACAAATAGATTAATCCTTAAGGTTTTGTTTGAGAATAACATTTTTTACCTTTGAATCATTCAGATAAAATTTAATAAAAATTCTATAAAATAAGTAAAAAAACATTTTATTTTATCAAATGATAAATGAAAACATGCAAACAAATACTCCCTTCATCCCCAATTTGATTACTCCCTCCGTCCGGAAATATTCTTCCCGTGTTGAATTGGCACGCTTATTAAGGAATAGTAAAAAAAATGCAAAATTTTCAAAAATGCACATACTATAAACTTTTAAATCTCATTTTCTTATTAAAAAAGTACTAAACAAGTAGATTAGTGATAAAATAGAAAGGTATTATTGAAATTTATCCTTAAAAAGTATACTAAAAAAGGAAATGAGAAGAATATTTTCGGACGGACCAAAAAGGAAAATGAGAAGAATATTTCCGGACGGAGGGAGTAATTTTTTTTCTCTCTACTCGATAACTTGTGTTTGTTTATCTGATTTTATTAAGTATTGAATAAAATAACATATTTTTGTCACATCTTGTTTTATAGAGCTTTTGACGTAGTTTTTTAATATGTAATTATTACTCCCTCCGTCCACAAATAAACTTTACATTGTGCGTTACGATGTTTGACTGAAGTTATTTTTAAATCATTTTATATGAAAAATGGTGTAGAATTGAAAAATAAAAATTACATATTAAAAAATTATACTACCTCCGTTTCTCAAAAGAGTTCCTCTTTTGACTTTGGAGGGAAATAAGGAAGTGTTAAATTGTAGTTGACTTTCCAATTTTGCCCTTGATGTGATGGGTAAAAGTAAGATGTGATAATTTAGTTGTTAGTGAAAAAGTATGATGTGATATGTAGGGTATGAAAAAGTAGGGGTAAAAGCGGTTTTTTAATAGAAAGGGGAAGTGTTTTAAGAAAAACAAAAAAAATGAAAGAGAAAGGGTTTTAAGAAACGGAGGGAGTATCAAAAGATCTACAAAACTAGAGGTGACATGACTATATTATTTTAGCAAATGAGTGACGAAAATAGGTCAATAAAGTAAATAAAGTTTGACCATGTAAATAGTGAACGTAAAGTTTATTTGTGGACAGAGGGAGTATTTCTTATTAATAAACCAATTTATAAATAAAATGATTTTAAAATATATAATTTTTCTCTTTGTAAACTCTATTTTGTAATCAAATTAGAGAGGAAAGAGTATGAATTATGGAGAGTCTAAAATAAGACGGAGTAGAGTAGGTGAGAAAACAGAGAATAAACATAAATGTTGAATTAGCCCACGTGGTACTTAAACTTTTCCAATACATATACTCCGTATATAAATGTACCCGGCGCCAGACACCGTATCAAACAACACAACACTTTCTCCCAATTTGATTAGAGTGGGAATAGAATCACTAATTAATTAATTGTGTGATCATCTTTCCGCCAATACAATCAGACATGGCTCAGGCGATCCAAAGCTCCACACCAAAACTCTTCTCCCCCTACCAGATGGGGAGGTTCAATCTTGCCCACAGGTTTGGTTTCAATTCCCATTTTCCGTTCCATTTTTCCGAGAATGCCCCGTCCGGCTGCACCTCTCTGTTTAATTAGGGGCAGATAAATATATGCCCATATTCAATGTGATGCGTCGTTTAAGTTTTCGAACTCCACTTCTTGTTTGTACGGTTAAAAACCAAAAATGAGTTGTTGACTAATTACTACTAAATAATCTTTCTTTTAGAGCAAATTCCAGGGCACCCTTAGCACAGAGGGAGTATATTCTAATAACATCCACATACACAGAATTTGTTTAATGAGAGAGAAACTTGAAAAATGTAAAACTTATTTGTAGACCGGCAAGAAAGAAAGTGTAAAATTCTTTCAAAATACAGTACTCTTCCCAGTCTTAAAAAGTTTTCATTTTTTGACTTTTTTGGTCAAACATGACCCATATCCTAAGATTAACTTAATTATACCAAAACTATATCTTAAGATTAACTCAATTATATTGAATTAATATTATAATTAAATATACTTTTTTTATAATTTATGGTCAAAGTATGTCACCTTTAACAAAAAAATTTTAGCACAGGAAGGGAGTATCATAAAATTAGTTAGTGGTAATTGTTGTAAATTTGCAGGGTAGTGTTTGCACCGTGCACAAGGTGTAGAGCTGTGGACCACATGCCACAAGAGGCACACATAGAGTACTACTCCCAAAGGTCAACCCAGGGTGGACTTCTTATTACCGAGGGAACCATGATTGATCCTAAATCTGCCGGGTATGTACTCTTTTCATTCGGCATATTAGTCTTTATTTATTTAATTTCTGAGTAAATTAGTTAGAGGGAGTTTATCTAAATAATACTAAAATATAATGACTTTTCTAATGTGGTACCATCGTTCAATGTCTAGTGGTCATTGTTCAAGTAATGTCTACCGCCACTAGAAATTATTCAAACTAAATGCCAACATCAGTGGATATTGTTCCTACCACTAGATATTATTCAAGTACTATTTAGGCAAAAAAATTTAAGTACTACTTCGTATATTGGAAAAGAACATATATTTTAATACTATTTATTAAAAATTTCACATTACTTATATGGTCTCATACTAAACCAACATGCCTTTTCCTGGTTAAACTATATATCGTTTACTCCTTTCATTCAAATTTGAGGTTGCTCAAACTTCCACTACTTTTTAAAACCATTTTCTATACTCATGTCATAAAATGATATAATCATATTACCTTTTATTTTATACTTCTCTTCTTTCCTAAAATACTTTCTCTTTTATTTTTTGTTTTTTCTAAAATACTTTCGCTTTCTATTAGTAAACTACTTTTACCACTACTTTTTCTTTCCCAATGACTCATGGTATGGTGTAGGTATCCAAATGTGCCCGGGATTTTTAACCAGGAGCAAGTGGAAGCGTGGAAAAAAGTGGTGAATGCCGTCCATGCTAAGGGTGCCCTTCTATTTTGCCAGCTATGGCACGTTGGTCGGGCTTCTCATCATGGTATAGTGTATATGTAGTTTTTTACTCCGGGTATCTTTTTTTTTTGTTTGTGCTGTGACTATTAACTGTATATACACCAAATTTTGGCCTAGTCTCTGACCTGAGATAGTTTTTTTTACAGTATATCAACCCAATGGAGGAGCACCGGTTTCATCAACAGGAAAACAAATTACAGAGAAATGGCGCATACTCATGCCCGACGGTTCTTACGGCCCCTTCTCAAAGCCCCAAACTCTATCAACTGAAGAGGTATCAAAATACGTCGACCTGTATCGCGTTGCAGCAATGAATGCCATGGAAGCCGGTTTCGATGGGGTTGAAATCCACTCCGCGCATGGCTATTTCATCGATCAGTTCCTGAAAGACGGGATAAACGACCGGACCGACCAGTTCGGCGGGTCCCTCGAGAACCGGTGCCGTTTTCTGGTCCAGATCGTCGAGGCCGTGTCTGGTGCCATTGGCGCTGAAAGAGTGGCGGTGAGAATCTCACCGGCCATCGATCACATGGACGCCACGGACACTGATCCCCTAGGCCTTGGCCTGGGAGTGGTTGAGAGGCTCAACCAGTTCCAGGCCAAGGCTGGGTGTAAGCTGGCCTACCTCCACGTCACGCACCCGCGGTTCGTGTCAAAAGAGGAAAGGAGTGACTCGACCAAGTTTGAGGCCATCATGATGGGCTCTCTGAGGAAGGCTTATGAGGGGACGTTCATGGCGAGCGGCGGGTACACGAGGCAGCTAGGGATTGATGACGTTGAACAGGGGAAGGCGGACCTGGTGTCGTTTGGCCGGCAGTTCATCGCTAATCCGGACTTGGTGCGGCGGTTCATGCTTGATGCGCCGCTGAACAAGTATGATAGGTCCACCTTTTACACATCGGATCCTGTGGTGGGGTTTACTGATTATCCTTTCCTTTGTGGTGGTGGTGGTGGTGGGAGTGAAACGGCCTCTCTGTCTCTCACTGCATGATTTGTGGTTTTTGTATGTGTGCTTCTATTTGGTTGAATAATTTGGTTGGTTGGAAAAATAGTGTGATCACTCAAAGATGAAATTGTAGCCAACTTATTACATACAATCCATTTGAAAAGACAATTTCTCTCCTTATGCATTTTTTTTACTATGTTTAATTGAAATTATTTTCATTTTCATTTTATATCAAAATTGGGATGAAATTAAAAAATAAAATTTAATAATTAAAAAACTAAATCAAAGTTTTATAAAATAAGATGTAACACACCACTACAAAAAAAAAGATAAAAAGACTGCCTCAATTGCATCACATAAAAAATAACCGATGCAAAAGAGCAAAGGCATCAATTGTTTTTCAAAAGTGATACAATGGCCAAATAGCTTCTGTGCCCCCTGTGGTTTGGAAAACTGGCACCAATACCCCCTCTGTTTTCAAAACATATTTCTAAAGTCCCCGTGGTTTCAAAACGTTGCACCCACACCCCCTCTGATCATTTTCCGGCCATTTTCCGATGAAGAAGGGGCATTGACGCATAATTTATAAACCATAGGGGACATTCGTGTTCATTTGTTATTTTCGTTTATTAACCTTCCCCTTTTAAAAACATTTTCTATCTCTTTTTCCTTTTCCTAGATTTTTTTAAAAATATATTTTCAATTTTTTATAATGTTTCAAAAATTTTAAAATTCTGTGTTTGAAATAAAAAATAAAATAAAAAAAATTAACATACATTAAATCTATCTCAAGTTAAACATTCACTTTTTGTTACTTAGAATAATTTTTTGGAAAGTCCAAATCTATTTCAAATTAAACATTTTCACTTTTTGTTACTTAGAATAATTTTTTGGAAAGTTAAAAAAAAACCCAAGAATAAAAAAATAAAAATATGGAAAAATGAAATGAAAAAATTTAAATATGCAAAAAAAGTCTTATACAAAAAAACAATTAGACACGCCTAAAAAGTCCTTAGAATTAATATGTCCAAAAAGAATATTCATTTTTATTTTTATATTATTTTGTTTCTTATTTTATTCCTCATTTTCTTGATGTTCTAAAAAAAATTACTTTTTTTTAGAAAAAACAAAAATTGTTAATTTGAGACATACATATGCATTAATTTTTTCTAACAAAAGTAACTTTAAATATTAAGAAACATTATAAAAATATTTTAAAAAAACCTTTATTAATAAATAAAACAAAAAAATGGAAAAAAAATATGCAAGAAATAAAAATTAGCACTGATACCCCCTATGGTTTTAAAAACATGCACCAATGCCCCTCTCTTCGCCGGAAAATGGCCGGAAAATGATCGGAGGGGGTGTGGGTGCAACGTTTTGAAACCACGGGGACTTTAGAAATAAGTTTTGAAAACAGAGGGGGTATTGGTGCTAATTTTTCAAACCATAGGGGGCACGGAAGCTATTTGGCCGTGATACAATTGATTGTTATTAAATAAAATTTGGAAACAAAAATTGGTATTAGCATTGGTTATTTTGTGAAACCTGATGCAATAGATCAATGACATCGGTTATAGAAAACAACCAATGCTAATACATATTTTTTATTTTTCAATATTCTCAAAAATTAAACAAATGCATCGGTGGTTTAAAACAGGCGATGCTAATACCAAATTTTAAAGTTTCAAAATTCTTAAAAAAGTACAAAGGCTTCGGTTTTTTCATTTAACCGATGCTAATACTATTAGTTTTTTTTAATTTTTTAATTAATACAACAAGGGCATCGGTTTTCTTTAACAACCGATCCAATACTCTTTTATATTTTGTTAATATTAATTATATTGGACCAATTACCAATCATATTAGATAAATGTGGTTAGTTCAATACTCCGTAATTTTTAAATATTTATTTGAGTGAGGGAGATAGGAAGAGGCGGCACATTCGATCCATCCGAGACGGGAAAGGGAAAATTCGATTGCTAAATCCGAGATGGAACCAAAGACTGGGAGAGGAGTTGGACGCGGCGGAAGGCTGAGGACGACCGGGCAGAAGGCGGTTTGACGATTGGAGACAGAAGGCGGTTCGATTGGAGACAGGTGCCGACCATCTGCATCTACGGCTACTCGAGGCTGGCCTGGGATCTCGTCGACGGAGGAGAGGAACTGCCACTGTTTGCAGAAATTGGACTTGCTCCTACCATAGTTTTTAAAACTGGACTGGTGACCGAACCGATTAAGTACTGGTTCACTGTTCGAAACTAGTGGTTCTACTAGTCAAACCAATGGTTTAGACATACTTAAAAATTATATATATATGTATATATATATATAAGTTCTGGTGAAAATGCGATCTTAGAAGAGAAATGAGAATGAATCTGGTGCTTTAGATTGTGAGATCTAAAGGTCAAGATTGCATCAAAATCAGATGCAACAAAACGGTTTAAAAATGCATCACGTCGAAATGCATCATAATCCTTTGAAAATGCACTATCTCAAAATCTGAGCGTAGGATGCAATCCGAGCCGCACGATGCATCAGATCCAACGGCTAGATTTCATTCTCTCCACAAGGTGCATTCTCACAGGAACCGGCCTATATATATATATATATATATATATATATATATATATATATATATATATATATATATATATATATATATATATATATATATATATATATATATATATATATATATATATATATATAT